TGTGTGTGAGAGAGAGAGAGAGTGTGTGCATGGCAGCACGTGGAAGCTGCCCTTTGCGGCTGAACCGGCCCACCCAGCCCACGTGTGCGGCGGAGCCGGCACAGCTGGTGGGTCGGCACGCGAGAAGGTGGCGGGCCAGCGGGCGTGGCCGCCGTGGTGCGGGAGCACAGGGGAGCTTCCACGTGCTGCCGTGCCCAGCGCGCCGGCCCCGCCGCACCGCCTGTAACCCAAGCCGGCGCGCAGCCGGCAGGGCCACACCACCCTCGCCGCCGGTCTGCCCCCACACCTTACCCCGCCACCCAGCCGCCGCCGCCATCCACCCTGCCACCTGCCCACCACACACCACCCGCCACCCAGGCCCACCCTGCCGCCTCACCCTCGCCTCCTGGCTGGCAGAGTAGTAGGAGTAATGAGAGTGGCAGATGCCGGAGAAGAAGAGGGCCACGATGCCGCTCATGCCAGCCACCTGCCGGGGGAATTAGGCGCAGGCGCGGGGGCAGGGCCAGCAGGGTGCGTGTGTGGTGTGGCTGGCTGCCGTGCCCGAGGGTGCAGCTGTGTCGGGGCAGCGGCAGGCGGCAGCTGCCACCATGCAGGTGCAGAGTGGGGGCCCCGGGGTCATGGCAGACTGCTGGGTTGGCTGCTGTCGCAGCCACGGCTGCCGCAGCTGCCGTTGATGCCAGGCTGCCGGAGGACTTGCCTCTGCCACTAGGTAGGCCAGGTAAGCTCCCATCACCACCACCGCTATCTCGTAGGAAGCGGAGTCTAGGGAGGCAGAGGCGCCTGCTGGGGGCGGCCAGCGGCACAGGGTGAGCGGGCGGCAGGCGGCACGGGGTGAGGGGGCAGACGCGGGCGGGCGCCGCAGCTGAAGGTACTGCCGCAGCAAGGCCAGCACACTCACTCACACACACACACACACACACACACAAGACACCACCGCCACACCACACCACACCAAGCCACCCACCCGAGGCATCCAGCCGGTCGAAGCGCTTGAGCACAAAGGCGCATGCCAGCGACACGCCCGCCCCGATCAGCAGCGAGCCCAGTGCCAGCACGCAGAACCGCAGCATGACGGCTGCGGGGCAGGGGGGTGCGTGGAGGGGTGGGTGGGGTGTGGGGTGGTGTCTTGTGTGTGTGTGTGTGTGTGTGTGTGAGTGAGTGTGCTGGCCTTGCTGCGGCAGTACCTTCAGCTGCGGCGCCCGCCCGCGTCTGCCCCCTCACCCCGTGCCGCCTGCCGCCCGCTCACCCTGTGCCGCTGGCCGCCCC